GGGGGGTAGAAGGAGCATTTGTGTGGAGGGGGACGGATGTGTCGATCAGTTGGATGATTTGTGTGGAGGGGGACGGGAGTGTCGATTAGTTGGATGATTTGTGTGGATGGGGACGGGTGTGGCGATCAGTTGGATTATTTGTGTGGAGGGGGGCGGGAGTGTCGATTAGTTGGATGATTTGTGTGGAGGAAGGCAGGAGGGTTGGCGGACATAAGAAAGGTAACGGGAAGGGGTGTCACATTGAATACAATGAAGAGTGGGTACATATTTCTACATCAAAAGGTGAGATAAAAGAGAGCAGTTTAGAATAAGGAAAAAGTCAGTAATATATTGAGGATGGTCGTTTATTGTGTGATTGCAGGAAAAAGCAGCAAGATGAACAACATAGATATTGAAATAAAGACCTTCTGGGGAGAGCCTCAATCACTCAAGGACTAAAGGAAAGATTAAGGTGATAATATTATTCATTTGCACATGAACATAAATGGGCCAAGTCAAAACTCTCTGAAACAGAAACAGTATGGAACAAATTAAGTTCTGTGATTGATTAGAGAAGGGGTGGGGGAATGATGGATTTTCTTCTTCTTTTATCTACTTATTAATTAAGTATGTAAGTAATTGTTTTTAAATTATTTATTAATCTATTAATCTATTAATCTATTAATCTATTTATCTATTTATTTATTTATTTATTTATTTATTTATTTATTTATTTATTTATTTAATTTGTGTATGGGGGGGGGGCATGATCACAAAAATGATGGATTATGGAAATATTTGTGCTGGGTGGATGAATCAGTCAATGCCCTGATGAAAACAACACTTACATTATAATGTGTATGTATGTACTTTGTTAAGGGTTTATATTAATATAGCGTTGGCTTACCGTCGCAACAACGCGCACCTTCTCCACTGAATCTTCATACAACTCAATTTTGTTATGGGGTAGACCTATTTGAATACCAAGGAAGCGACGAGGTCCATGCCAAGACTTGATCCGCCTTCTGCCATTATGACCCCATTGAAAGAGCATTCCACGACAGGTCCATTCCTTTCAACAAGTAAAAAAATGTTCATTAATTGGAGTTGCAACATCGGATTGAGTGAACTTTGGGCATTCCTTAAACGAGGGTTTTGAATGGTATTCCAATAAGTTGAGGTGAGACTTAGGTTTTAAAAAACAATATCGAAAGAGATTCTCTCTCCCTCTCCCTTACTCTTTCTCTCTCTCCCTTACTCTTTCTCTCTCTCTCTCTCTCTCTCTCTCTCTCTCTCTCTCTCTCTCTCTCTCTCTGTCTCTCTCACGCACACAGCACACACACACATGCACACACACACACACACACACACACACACACACACATGAACTCTTGTGTGCACGAATAAACAAACAAACGCACTGTCACTGTGTCTGCCAACAGATTGTCGTATAATTTTTGTCTTGTCGTTATCCTTTTTCCAATACATGTATAATAAACGTTTTCATGAAGTGTCTTTGCATTTATTCGACAAACAATATCATGTCTTTGATAGATCTGTTGTTTTCCAATCCACGTTTACACCGCTGATGCCATTTCTGCTGCTTCACACATAATGTACTCAGTTGTTTTGGGTTTTTTTTTAAATAGATCTTCTACATGTATTGCCTTCTATTTCTCCTGTCACCGTACTGTCCCTTCTTCTCTTTGATAATTCTCGCCTTTTTTTCTTCCTATCTTTTTCTCCTCCTCCTCCTCCTCCTCCTCCTCCTCCTCCTCCTC